CATAAAAGTTGCTAGGCAATTCAGTCAAAAGTACAAAGGCAGCACTCTGATATACAGAAATTAAATTTAAATAAAATATAATGTGATGAGATTTTGCCCTCATCCAAAACTTTTTTGCTCTGGAACAAATATCAGTTTAATGAGACCAAAGACTGCCCGTTAGATTTACCCAAAGCAAATTATATCTCATATTTAACCACTATAGAGTCATAAGAGCCAGCGGCAAATTCCGAGGTGTAGAATATCACACTCCTCTCAGCCAGATCAGATTCAAGAACCAGAAAAAACTGTTGTGTGTCTATATATATATATATATAATTACAATTATTTTGTCGCTCAGTTTCCAGTCCACCATTACATTGGTGCTTGCCCTTTAAAATCTTAAGCATATGCACGAGGCTGACTCCAGCTCCTTTTTCGCCAGCTCCTTATTCGCCGAATTATCCGTTCCACCTTAAAAATGTTGGGTGGTTGTTAACCCCTCCCCCTCAGTACTTTCGGCTGTATTTTTTAAAGGAACAGTTGCACAAAAAAAGGCCAGGCTGCGAACAGCAGGTTTCATTGAACAGTAAAAATGTAGTTTTGTAAAAATGTAATGTATGTTTCAATAAATGGTGCACGTGACAAATTCAGGCAGAGTTCTTCTTTTTTATTTAAGCTCCATGCCTTACTCAATATCTTTTTCAATGTAGCCTGTATGCATGGAAAAAGATAATATTGTTTGCAGCTGTTTTGTAATGGTTTTGTCATTTTAGATCATTATTGGAATTTATCCATTATTGTAAATGATTAAAGAGATATATACATTCATTAATTGTCTCACAAAATCTTGTATTACTGCATTTTCTGATGTGCTGTTGATTAAATGACCGACAGAATATGCGCCCTAGGCAACAGCATGTGCCGACAAAGCATACTGGGCGTGTAATAACTTTATGATATCACAAGTTCTCACAAATAGGAGCACGTAGAGGGCAAGATAAATTCATTCTATAATGAAATCCTGCATTAGAACATTTTCTGATGTTTTATAATGGAAATATGACACAGAGAAAATGCCCTCCAAAGCAACTGTATGTGCCGACAAGGCATACTGGGCGTGTCACAACTTAAATATTTTACAAGTTCTCAAAGAATCGAGCACGTAGAGGGAAAGATCAATTCATACTCTAACGGAATCCTGCATTACAACATTTTCTGATGTTTTATAATGGAAATATGACCCAGAGAAAATGCCTTCCAAAGCAACTGTATGTGCCGACGAAGCATACTGGGCGTGTCATAATTTTGTTATTTCAGAAGTTCTCAAAGCAACGAGCACGTAGAGGGCAAGAGTAATTCATTTTGTAAGGGAATCCTGCATTACAACATTTTCTGATGTTTTATAATGGAAATATGACCCAGAGAAAATGCCCTCCAAAGCAACTGTATGTGAGGACAAAGCATACTGGGCGTGTCATAATTTTGTTATTTCAAAAGTTCTCAAAATTTCGAGCACGTAGAGGGCAAGAGTAATTCATTCTTTAAGGAAATCCTGCATTAGAATATTTTCTGATGTTTTATAATGGAAATATGACCCACAGAATATGCCCTTCCAGGCAACTGTATGTGAGGACAAAGCACAGTGGCCGTGTCACAACTTAAATATTTTACAAGTTCTCAAAAAAAATATGCCCTTCCAGGCAACTGTATGTTGTATGTTGTATTGAGAACTTTTTAAATTGTTAAGTTGTGACACGCCCAGTATGCTTTGTCCTCACATACAGTTGCTTTGGAGGGCATTTTCTCTGGGTCATATTTCTATTATACAACATCAGAAAATGTTCTAATGCAGGATTTCGTTAGAGTATGAATTGGTCTTTCCCTCTACGTGCTCGATTCTTTGAGATCCTGTGAAATTGTTAAGTTATGACACGCCCAGTATGCTTTGTCGGCACATAGAGTTGCTTTGCAAGGCATTTTCTCTGGGTCATATTTCCATTATAAAACATCGGAAAATGTTGTAATGCAGGATTTCGTTAGAGTGAATTGATCTTTCCCTCTACGTGCTCGATTTTTTGAGAACTTGTGAAATTGTTAAGTTATGACATGCCCAGTATGCTTTGCCGGCGCATACAGTTGCCTGGAAGGGCATATTTTGTGGGTCATATTTCCATCATAAAACATCAGAAAATGTTGTAATGCAGGATTTCCTTAAAGAATAAATTGATTTTTCCCTCTACGTGCTCGATTTTTTGAGAACTTGTAAAATATTTAAGTTGTGACACGGCAACTATGCTTTGTCCTCACATACAGTTGCTTTGGAGGGCATTTTCTCTGGGTCATATTTGCATTATAAAACATCAGAAAATGTTGTATTGCAGGATTTCGTTAGAGAATGAATTACTCTTGCCCTCTACGTGCTCGTTGTTTTGAGAACTTTTGAAATAACAAAATTATGACACGCCCAGTATGCTTTGTCGGCACATACAGTTGCTTTGGAGGGCATTTTCTTTGGGTCACATTTCCATTATAAAACATCAGAAAATGTTCTAATGCAAATATGACCCAGAGAAAATGCCTTCCAAAGCAACTGTATGTGAGGACAAAGCATAGTGACCGTGTCACAACTTAAACATTTTACAAGTTCTCAAAAAATCGAGCACGCAGAGGGAAAGATCAATTCATTCTTTAAGGAAATCCTGCGTTACAACATTTTCTGATGTTTTCTGATGGAAATATGACCCACAAAATATGCCCTTCCAGGCAACTGTATGTGCCGGCAAAGCATACTGGGCGTGTCATAACTTAAAGGGGTCATATGATGCGATTTCAAGTTTTCCTTTCTCTTTGGAGTGTTACAAGCTGATTGTACATAGATAAGATCCCTAAAGTTGCAAAGAATAAAGTCTCAAAACCAAAGAGATATTCTTTATCAAAGTTAAGACTCTGCCACGCCCCCCTAAAACGGCTAATAAACCCACGGAGGTGAAAAAAACAGCGTTTCAGGCGGTCGCACACCGGACGAGAAGCACAGCGTCGTTTGGGCTTCCGAAAGCGGATGATATCAGGAAACAGTGGTTGCAATTTACTTTTTAACTCTGTTCCTGAGCATTATAACCCCAATTTGCTATTGTGTGTCATATTTCTATTATAAAACATCAGAAAATGTTCTAATGCAGGATTTCGTTAGAGTATGAATTGGTCTTTCCCTCTACGTGCTCGATTCTTTGAGAACCTGTGAAATTGTTAAGTTATGGCACGCCCAGTATGCTTTGTCGGCACATACAGTTGCTTTGGAAGGCATTTTCTCTGGGTCATATTTCTATTATAAAACATCGGGAAATGTTCTAATGCAGGATTTCGTTAAAGAATGAATTACTCTTGCCCTCTACGTGCTCGCTTTTTTGAGAACTTGTGAAATAACAAAATTATGACACGCCCAGTATGCTTTGTCGGCACATACAGTTGCTTTGGAAGGCATTTTCTCTGTGTCATATTTCCATTATAAAACATCAGAAAATGTTCTAATGGAGGATTTCGTTAGAGAATGAATTTATCTTGCCCTCTAAGTGCTCCTTTTTGTGAGAACTTGTGATATCATAAAGTTATTACACGCCCAGTATGCTTTGTCGGCACATGCTGTTGCCTAGGGCGCATGTTCTGTGGGTCATTTAATCAACAGCACATCAGAAAATGCAGCAATACAAGATTTCGTGAGACAATTAATTAATGTATATATCTCTTTAATCTTTTACAGTAATAGATAAATTCCAATAAAGATCTAAAATGACAAAACCATTACAAAACAGCTGCAAACAATATTATCTTTTTCCATGCATACATGCTACATTGAAAAAGACATTTGAGTAAGGCATGGAGCTTAAAGGGGTCATATGATGCTTTTTTAAAGATCATTATTTTGTGTATTTGGTGTAACAGAATATGTTGACATGCTTTAATGTTCAAAAAACACATTATTTTTCAAATACTGTACATTATTGTAGGTCCTCTATATAGGCATATATGCCCCGCCTCTATCGAACGCTTCGTTTTCTACAAAGTCCCTCCTTCCGACAAGCACAGTCTGCTCTGATTGGCCAGCTGAACCAGTGCAAGAATATCTCTTTGGTTTTGAGACTTTAGTCTTTGGAACTTCAGGGATCTTATCTATTCACAATCAGCTTGTAACACTCCAAAGAGAAAGGAAAACTTGAAATCGCATCATATGACCCCTTTAAATAAAAAAGAAGAACTCTGCCTGAATTTGTCTCGTGCACCATTTATTGAATAAATAAATGGTGAATACATTACATTTTTACAAAACTATATTTTTACTGTTCAATGAAACCTGCTGTTCGCAGCCTGCCCTTTTTTGTGCAACTGTTCCTTTAAAAAATACAGACGAAAGTACTGAGGGGGAGGGGTTAACAACCACCCAACATTTTTAAGGTGGAACGGATAGTTCGGCGAATAAGGAGCTGGCGAAAAAGGAGCTGGAGTCAGCCTCATAGCATATGCCCTAAATCACATGACTTGTCATGACATGTCATCAAAGCAAATATCAGTCCTATAATTTTTCTCTTCCTCATTTTCTGAAGACTAATTTAATAGTGTAAAATGTAACATGTCCACCCTGTCAATTTATATACTTGAAACATCTATTATATATCTATTAAAATTATTCTTAAATCTTCTGCTAATTAAACAAACAAACAAACAAACAAACAAACCTGCTCATTCCAAAATCCACCAAACTATAAGAATGACCTAGAAATCACTTTCAGAAACACTTTCACAGAACTTATTTTGTCAAAAAAGTCTAATGGTGAAGTTCCTTGACTTCCTGTATATTCCCTCAAGAGAAAAGAGTTACATATAACTGAATGTTAATCCATTACATTTCTGTTGGCACATCTATTTTACAATGCTCTCCTACCTTAAAACACATTTCTTTAAAAAATATATTTTAAATACAAATAATATTCAGGTGATAAAGACAGTAGTTTTGTACGACCTACCTGTTCATCGAGTGAATTGTAATGAGAGAGTGTGATTATAGGAAACCCCGCCTTACTGTCTTACTGTCACAGTTCTTTTGAATAGCCTACTGAAAAATGAGGTTTCGTCTACATACATATGCATTTAGGCCCAGAATTAACATTACATTAATGAAAAATTCACTCTTACAAACATAATGTTTTCCAGCAAATGTGGGCAGTGACTGAATCATTGTCTACCACCAATAAGACATATTTTCCCAGATAATTCTTGAGTACACACAAGAAAAGAAAAGATGATCAGTTGTCTCTGTTTTATTGTACAATTTCATTGCCTAGAAGTGTACTGCATAATCAATCATGCATTTTATATCACATCCTGACTTGTTGTCGGGATTCATGACAAAACTGATGAGTCAAGACTTGCAAGGTATATACTCAAAACGGGATTTCTCAAAAGTATGCTTGAATATCATGTAATGCTTAAGTTTCCTTTTCTTGAGAAATGAAACTTAAGGATCTCCTTCTTTGAGCAAAAGAATGAGAACACGCCCTACTGTAGAAACTATGGAAGCCCTAACAGACTATGTATTTTTTTCTCTATGATAAAAGCTGTAAGCACAGTACATCTGACATTAAAAGAGCAACTGATAACCACAGTTTACACAGACTTAAGTGTATGCAGCCTTTAGACTCTTCTTTAATGATCGCACAGTATTTTGTATGTAGAGCGAGGCCCGGCGTCGGCGCCGTGGGGGGGGGGGGGGGGGGGGGTGGGGGGGGGGGGGGGGGGGGGGGGGGGGGGGGGGGGGGGGGGGGGGGGGGGGGGGGGGG